TTTCATTCTTAACTTAGCTTCACAAACTGAGTGCAATTTATAGGAACATATACTGATGGGGGATCATTCATAATGAAATGAAATTGTCTATGAGCTTACTAGCCCAATAATGAATGAAATGAAATTGTCCATGAGCTTGATACTAGAATTTCCATAAGTAAATGTTTTCTTAAGCATTTTGTTTTTCACTAATATTTTTTTCTTTTTTTTTCCTGAATGACAGGTGGAGTGGGATGAACCGGGCTGTGGTCACAGGCAAAACAGAGTTAGCCCGTGGGAAATCGAGACACCCGAGAGCATCTTCGTATTCCCATCGCTAACTACCAACCTCAAACGTCCCTTTCACTCTGCATTCACCGGTAAAACCTCAGGCGACATTTTTTATTTTTTATTTTTTTCGGTTTCCTTTTTCATGCCTTTTCCCCCTTCTATTAGGATATTAGCCTCAAGAAGTGGCTGATAATAATATGTATTTCTGTCTTGTTATCAGGAGGACAAACAGAATGGGAGACTCTGATAAACCGAAATCATTTCCTCCAAATTCCCGAAAATGCCCCTCCGGTATCATCAACGTGCCTGTGGTCAGACCAGCTGGTGAAGATGCTCACGATGAAACCAGCTCACAACGAGTCGAGCCCGTTTCAGTTAAACGAAGAAAAACCACCACCACCCGTGAAGAAGCCCATAAATCCACATAACGAGTTTTTTTCTGCCGTGGCGCACCACACTGCAAGTCCCATGCAGCCTCGAGCAGACCTGCTCGTTTTCCAACCCCAAGAAATCGAACCGTGGGACCCGCATTTTAACGGCGGGATTAATCCGGACATTTTGAACTTTCAGTACAGCTCGTGTGATCTGAAGGACATGTCAGTCGAGAACAATAATAATGAGAGTGGGGACATATTATACGGCTGTCTGAATCTCGACGGGAGTACCAACAGCGAGAGCACTGTGATCGACCTCTCGGTTTCGAGCACGGTTTTCGAGGATTTCTGCAATAATGTGAAGGGTGTCGTCGATTTCCAGAACCCGTCCGATTATCTCGTGAGTAGTAGTAACATGTGCTCGTCCCAGATCACGTCAGCCGCCAGCCTGGTGGATTCCCAGAATTTCTCCATAGCCTCCTCGAGTAATGTGGATTTCGAGGAAAATGCTATCTTGCAGCAGCATGGCACGTGGAAGAAGGTGACGACCTCAAGGTTACGTACTTATACTAAGGTAATGATGTCCAAATGTCGTTTCGTTTT